AGGAGTCGTCATGAGTGAAGAACAAAGGCTTCTCAAAATGGCTAAACAAAAAATTAAAAACAGAGAAGTTGCTGCTAGAACACATGAGATGAGACTGGTAATTAAGCTATTTAATTTTCATGACTTTCTAAATTTTGACACTCTCATTCGATTCTATTCGATCCTTTGTTTTTATAAGGCTCGTGAAGCATATTTGGAGTCTCAACATTTGGAGCTTCTCATGGAGAATGATTTCTTGAAAAAAATGGTTATGGTAAAATTTATTGACGATATAATTCTTCACTATTTTTGTATAAATATGATACTTAGACCTAATTCAACACCAAAACTAGTTCACAAGAGAGGATTTGCCTAAGTTCACATGAACAGACCACTAGGTCATTCCTCAGCCAATGTGTGACGTTAATCCACTCTAACACCTCGTTCACGCTCTGGCCCAACTAGAGCAAGGATCAGGCATGAAGGGTATGTTAGAGTGGGTTAAAGTTTCACATTGACTAAGGAATGAATTGATAGCTAGTCTGCTTATGTGAACTTGGACAATCCTCTTCTCATAAACTAGCTTTTGGGATTGAATTATTAGGTCCAAGTATCATATGTTTATAATTTTGTTATTTCAACTTGAATTAAGTATTAGTTTCTTAAAGAACTTTCACCACTTTCTCTTTGTTAACCAGTTTTTGGAAGATCATAAGAGAGTAAATGTGCCGCCTGAACCATTGAGGAGGACCATCTCAGGACCAATGTTGATCCAATGACATTAGTGTACATGGAATTGAATGGAAAATAAAAAGTTAGGTACACGAAGAACACAAGAGGAAACGCAAGAAATTTTGTTTTTTTTTAACAAAAACCTATCCTTTGTTTGGGCTTACTACTACTATTTAGTATCGCAGAAATATTGATTACGAATATTTTTCATTTAATTACACGTTTCCTAATTATTTAATAATAGATTGGTCTTCTTAATTTTTGTTTTTCAAATAGATTTAGTTATATCTTTAGCAATTGATTTTACACTTAGGGTGTGTTTGGTATGAAGGAAAATGTTTTCCTAGAAAATATCTTCTTGGAAAATAAGTTGATTTTTGACTTATTTTCTCATGTTTGGTTGGTGAGTAGAAAATATTTTTCGGAAAAGATTTTTTGTGTTTGATTTATGAATGAAAAATGTTATTGAAAAATTTCTTTTATTTTTACTAGAGTAGAAAATAATTTTTGAAATTGAAAATATTTTTTAAAAACAAACTTAATTTTTTTTGGGGTGGGGGCTGGTAGGGGGTGGGGGGGATCGAGGGTAGGGATGAAAAATTGAAATTTTGAAGTTAAAAATATTTTTTTTTTAAAAAAAACTTAAATTTTTTTTTGGGGGGTGGGGGGGTCGAGGATAGGGGTCAAAAATTGAAATTTTAAAGTTCAAAATATTTTTTAAAAACAAACTTAAATTTTTTTGGGGGGGTGGGAGGGGCTGGTAGGGGTTGGGTGGGTGGGGGGTCGAGGGTAGGGGTGAAAAAAATGAAATTTTGAAGTCGAAAATATTTTTTAAAAACAAACTTAAATTATTTTTTTTTGGGGGGGGGGGGGTTGGTAGGGGGTGGGTGGGTGGGGAGGTCAAGGGTAGGGGTGAAAAAATGAAATTTTGAAGTCGAAAATATTTTTTAAAAACAAACTCAAATTTTTTTTTTTGGGGGGGGGGGCTGGTAGGGGGTGGGTGGGGGGGTCGAGGGTAGGGATGAAAAAATGAAATTTTGAAGTTGATTTTTTTTTTTTTAAATAAAACTTAAATTTTTTTTTTTTGGGAGGTGAGGGGGGGGGCTGGTATGGGGTGGGGGGTCGAGGGTAGAGGTGAAAAAATGAAATTTTGAAATCGAAAATATTTTTAAAAAACAAATTTTAAATATTTTTTTTGAGGGGGGTGGTTGGGGGGTTGGTTTGAGTGTAGAGACAAAATAAATTGATTTTTTCAACAATTTTTTTTTTTAATTAGAAGTTGGAAGAGAGTTTGGAAAATGTTTTCCTTAAGTTTTGAAGGGAAGTCATTTTCCTTAAATTTGAGGAAAATGAGTTGATTTGAAAAACATTTTCCAAAACATTTAACCCAACCAAACATGAGAAAGTTGGAAAATGTTTTCCTTCATACCAAACACACCCTTAGTTGGGTACAAGTTCTTTAAAAGCGTGTGGCATAAATGGCGAAAAAATTATTTATATTAAAGGATACAAAAATTACAGATTAGCACAAATTGAAGTAAAAGTGCAAATGACCAAACTCCTTACAATTTTTTTAAAATAAAAATTACAGACCGTAAGACTTTGGTTCAAAGTGACCGATTAATATTGGCAACACTGAGCTTCATCTGTCTAATTTTTTTCACACTTTTCAGTACATACGTGTTTTATAAATGTCGTGAACCCAAAAAAAGGTCATTCATAACAAATCACCATATTTTGGGTGGTTTTAATTTTTGTCATTCAATAGTTAAAGGAAAAAAAAAAGGTGGTCTGATAGATTCCTGACATCATAAATTATATATCTATTCGTATCATAATATATCACAAGTTATGTCATAAAAAGTATAATAAATTATGTCGTGTTACATTACTTAATTTCCATAGAACTTATATCGAGCAGAGCAAAACTTAGTTCCTACATAATAAAAAATTCTCTAAACTTATGCCGAGCGAATTAAACCATAAATGAGAGCACTTTGATCTATAAATTTTATGAAATAAGAAGCAAAGACAAAAATTAATGACCATCATATTTGGTGAAAAAACTTGAAAACAAGAATGGGCTTGGATCAATCTGTACCGGGCCTTGCATCATCTAAAGTGGGCCGAAACTTCAACTTCAAAATTATGGAAAAATTACGGAAATTCCGCCTTTTAGTTTACTTATTACCATTATCCCCTATAAGTTTTACAAAATCTCCAAAATCTCTCATTTTCGCGCATCAGATTAGTGTATCTCGCACATTAGATTAGTGTATCATGTATAAAATGTACATCAGATTAGTGTATCATGTATATATAAAATGTAATGTATCTTACTTAACGATTAATGTATCTCGCGCATCAGATTAATGTATCAGCGCTTATATTATTGTATCCGTTTGAGGAATTTCTGTAATTATCAACTTTTAAGGGATATATTGTAATTTTGCATTAAAAGTATGTGATTTCTGTAATTTGCCCAAATAATATTTTACAATTGTAAGCTTGCAGATTAATGACAGAATGCCAACACTTTATTTATCATGTTTCACTGAATTTCATAAAAACAGATGAAATATCTTGATTTAATTATATATTAAGTTGTATATAATTAGGAATAAAATGGGGATTGAGTGAAAGTCATATTGAATATAAAATGCAACCGTCACAAGTTGTGATTCTTAACTATTATTTGACCATAACTTCTTCTAGCTTCTTTTGTCGCTACCCAAAATTTTTCTTGTATAAATGGATTCAATTTTATATGTATACACTTTTTTTTTTAATTTATACAATACATTTTAAGATTTACTCTTAATTGGTTAATCGATAAGGTATATAAAGACACTTAGACTAAAGGTTTCACTTCATTTCTCATATATCTCATGCTCAATAATCAATTCTAAAAAGTTTGTCCCCAATGGTACAAACAAGAAGCAACTTCATGTATCACAATCAAAATTTGGCCATTTTTAAGCGGTTAACGATTAATAATCGATATCTTAATAATTTATAATAGTTTAACATATCTACAAATTGATAATCGATAAGACGAATCAATAGCATTCAAAATCAAATTAAACCACACAATTAATACTCATACATCTAAAAGTTGGACTAATATGTAACCAAATAGATCAGTGAAATTTTTGTCAAAATATATTTCAAAACAATATTTGATAATAACCATAATAAAGATAACGAAAATTTTATTAGATAGTTATACATATTATAAAAATACAAACAGAAAAATTTAAACTTAGTAAGTATTAAACGTGTTTGAATCATTAAACATTTTTTAGCCAATTTTAATTCAAATAACTTTTAAGCGATTCAATAACTTATTTATTTTAATTGTTATGGTTGCTAAATGATTCTTTCTCTGTCTATTTATAATTGTCAGGTTGCGAAAGTCAATTTAATTAATTTTCAAAGTTAAGTTAGATTATATTAATTTGATATTTTTAATAAAAAATTTAGATATTCAAAAATAATATAAAAATACTATAAATTTAATTTTTTTACATATCAATGTGATAAAAAAACAACTCGTAAAATGTCAGTTAGAGACTTAGAGTGGTCGGAGGTAGTATGCAAATTTGCTCACTTTTCTCGAATTGGAAAATAGTCAACCATACAACACTCTTCTTTTTCTTTCTAAAAGAGCTAGATATTTACCACACTATACAATTAGGGAAAAGAAAAAAGAAAAATATTAAATTAGTTTCTACTATTATTAAACTGTCTTTCCACTTTAAATTCTTAACCTGCCACGTGTGAATCGTTCATTGTTCAACTGTTTGTATAGTGCAATAAATTTTACCCCTATATATACTGCTAAATATTACTAGTAATTAAATATCTTAATATAGATATATATAATTTTAACTTAAGTTACTACTAATTGATAACTTAATTTAAATCACTTTGCTTTTAGTAATTAAGTATAGTTTTGAGATTACTTCCATGAATCATAGTAATAACAGATATCCCTATAAATCTTATTGAAACAAATCACAACGGAATAGTTAAATTAACAAATAAATCTATGTTTTACCACAGTAAACATTTTTAATTTTACCTTTTTACCCTTTTATCTAAGGTTATTTTCATTGTTATAAAGTGTACAAACACGTGGCCTTTATGTCATTTTGTATCTAATAACTTGTGTCCTTTTTCAGAGCAGTTAATATAGTACTGCTACACTTAATTTATCTCTCTTTTCTTTCTTCTTCACTTCAATTTCTTCATTTCTTGGAACTGAAAGTTGAAAAAAAAAAAAATTAATCAAAAATGGAACATCCATTCTTCATGAACGGCGCCGGAAATACGTCGAGAGCGGAGGCGATACGGTGGTTATCAATAGCGGAGAAGCTATTGACAAACCGTGACCTAGTTGGGAGCAAATCATTTGCGACCCGGGCCCATGAATCCGACCCGACCCTTTTACCTGCCGACCAAATTCTTGCCATCGTTGACACCCTAATCGCCGGCGACAAGCGGATCAACAACCAGCATCTTGACTACTACTCTATTCTTCAAATTCCTTCGAACCAAACCCATGATTCTGAACTTATCGCTAATCAGTACCGACGTCTTGCGCTCCTATTGAACCCTCAGAAGAACAATTTCCCTTTCTCTGACCATGCTTTTCATCTTGTTGTTGATGCTTGGTCTGTTCTTTCAAACGCTTTTAGGAGAAGTGTTTATGATAAAGAAATTGGGTTTTTTCTTAACCTTAACCCTGTGTCGTCTCCTCCTCCACCTACTAATAACCCAGTTGGTTTCATGCAACAAAGTTCTATGATTTTTCAGAGTCAACCACAGTCGCATCCGGTGAGTTCTGTTCCGAGTTCAAGCAGAGAGCGGCAGACTGTAACATTTCTTCAAGACCCACAACCCCAGTCAATGACTTCTGTGTCCAGCTTGACTAGAGAGCAGCAGCCGGTAACATTTCTGAGCAGAAATCAGACACAGCCAGTAAACTCTACTATGCTTAGTCCGGACAGAGAACAACACCCCTTTACCTTTGGGTCAAGTACCACAAGAGCGCAACAGCAAGTAGCTTTTGCAGAATCAACAAGAGGGCAACAACAAGTTGCTTTTGCAGAGTCGACAAGAGGGCCACAGCAAGTAGCTTTTGCAGAGTCGACAAGAGGGCCACAACAAGTAGCTTTTGTAAAGACGACAAGAGGGCAACAGCAAGTAGCTTCTGTAGAGTCGACGAGAGGGCAGCATCGAGTAGCGTCTATGGAGTCGAGAAGAGAGCAACAAGAAGTTGCTTCTGTACATCAGCAAGGTAATAAGCAGGCACCACAAAGAAACGAGGGCTTGTTGGGCAACAATCAAAATTTCTCTGCTAGTACTGGTAGAAATGTGAACAATGAGGGTTTGTTTGGGAACAATCAAAATCACTCTGTTAGTACTGGTGGAAATGTGAACAATGCGGGTTTGTTTGGAAACAATCAGAATCACTCTGCCAGTATTAGTAAAAATGTGAACAATGAGGGTTTGTTTGGGAACAATCAGAATCACTCTACTAGTATTAGTAAAAATGTGAACAATGAGGGTTTGTTTGGGAACAATCAAAATCAGTCTGCTAGTACCAATAGAAATGTGAACAATGAGGGTTTGTTTGGGAGCAATCAAAATCAGTCTGCTAATACTAGTCACAACAATGAGGTTTTTTTTGGGAACAATCAAAATCATTCTGTTAGTACTAGTAACAACAATGTCAGGGGAAAAGAGAGGAGTGCAGATGCATCAAGTCATGCTGTTCCTAGTTTCTGGACTGCATGTCCATATTGTTATCTGATGTATGAGTATCCTTTAGAGTACGTGGATTGTACTTTGAGGTGTCAAAAGTGCAAGAGGGCATTTCAGGCTGTAAAGATTGCCTCGCCGCCGCCAATTATTGAGGGACAAGAAGCTTATTTCTGTTGTTGGGGATTTATGCCTTTAGGATTTTCCTTGGAGATTTTTAAGAAATACAAAGGCAATATTTCGAGCTGGACTCCATTTGCACCCATGTTTAATAAACATGGAGGTGTAAGAAGGCCAGCTGCTCCGAGAGTTTATATTGATGATTATGAGGATGTGTTTCTGGGATTATCAGAGTCGAGTGAAGAGTCAGATGAGGATTGGAAGGGTGATAATAAGATGAAGAAGGCAAAGAGTGGGAAACGAAAAAGTAAAAGGATTAGGAGAAAGAAGGCCAAGATACAGAAATCTGACAAGGGAAAAAATGTTGTAGTGAATGCTGGTGATGATGTGCAAGATGTTTCAGCGACTCAAGGGGGTGTAGAAGTGCCCAATGTTACAACAGCTCAGTCTAGCAAGAGAGCTGGTAACACAAGAAGGCAAGCTGGAAGGGTTACTAAAGATGTTGGGAAGTTGGATTTGAATGTTGAATTCAGTAATGAGGTTGAAGAGCCCCCTGCACCTGGGATGGGCCAAGGCAATGGAGCTGGAACAGGGGAGGATGGGAACATTGAAGGGATTGAGTTTTTTGAAGGTCTTGATGAATTCCTAAGCAGTCTTCCTATACTCAATGCTGTGGGTGATGATAAGGTTAAGGCTGCCTAGCGAAGTAAGGCATTTCTTTTGTTCTAGTCGTAGCTTCCTTTTGTCTTTTGTATGTTTTAGTAAGGGATGAAAAGCTACTCAGGCATTGGCCTTGATGTTTTCATTGTAATGCTAATGTATTGCTAGTTTGCATTGAAGTAATTGCAATAATCAGCTTTTTGCTCTAATCTCCATACTGCATCAGTTATCTTGGTTTTCTTATTGTATAGTTTAAATAATTTATGATCAGTTTCCTATGTTCCTATCTTTTAAAAGATCAAATAGGTTCTCAGAGGGCCTTGTTTGCCTGTTCGTTTTTTCCGTTCAGTTGTGCCACATAAGTTTTAACTTTATCTTGAACTCTGTTTGCTTGAAACTAAGTCTTTTATCTACTTATCTCAGGCTATTGATTGCTTTTAAGTATACTTGTTGTTGGTTGTTTGGAGCTTAACCCTTGCAACTTGCAAGTAATAGATTCATATAATTTTGATTTTTTTCCCTTGTGAGAAATGACGTCAGCATTTTTGAATCTGTTAGGATAAATTTTTGATATATGCTAAGCTTCCATTTAAATAAAAGGGACTCATCCGCCGCATACAATGTTACAAGTTTTTGCCCCATTTCTCTTTATACATGATTATAAGTCTTGGTTTTGGATCTTTTAAAAGCTTTGACAACAAAATTTTCAAGGAAAAAATTGGCCATGGAGACGGATCTGGAAAAACTAAGGCTCCATTCGAAGTGCAATGTCTCTTGGATGGCAGCAAATGAGGTTTGTTTGAGACGTGACAGCAAATGAGGTTTGTTTGAGATGTGACAGCAAATGAGGTTTGTTTGAGACGTGACAATTTACAAGGAAGAGCTTCACATCACCAATAGGTGGTCTTTTTTTTTTGGGTAAGGTAATCAAATCATATTAGAAAAGCATTACAAGAGAGCAAAAGAAGCTGCTTCAAACAAAACGTGAAGCAAACTTAGGCCTAAACCTGTAAAACAGCCAAATAATTCCCTGAATATTCTACTAGGCTAAAGAAATGGAGCTAACAAATTCCAAAAAGTTATCCCCATTGTTTACTGGGGAAAGAAAGTGCCAACTGAATAAACATTCAAAACATCTAGCCTTGAGTGTGCTAGTAGGAGTTGAGATTCCATCAAAGCATCTGCTATTTCTCTCGTTCCAAGGACACCAAAAAATAACTATTGGGATTATTCTCCAGATTCTTTTGATGGTTTTATCTACTCTCCACAGTGACCAAATTACATAGGCATCTTTCATGAAGAAGGGCATTACCCATTGGAGCCCAGATAAAGTGTAAAACAAATTCCATAAGCCAACTGCTGCAGGGCAGTGCAAAAAGAGATGGTTTACAGTTTCATTGTCCTGCTTGCACAAGAAACATCTGTTGATGGGAATTATTCCGTTTCTCCTGAGATTGTCTTGTGTTAGGCAAGCCTCTCTAAGGGCATTCCACGTGAAACAAGTGACTTTGAGAGGGAAGTAAATCTTGCATATTCCCAAGAACCAATTGTAACTTTTCTTCTGCAGCTGTTATATATTTTCTTGTTACACAAACTCTCAGTCAGTAATTCACCTTAATTTCATAGCTTAGTGCTGAAGTTTCACAACGTACAATTTGAAGGGAAGTTTGTCATGCTTGCTTGTGTGGACTCTTCGCATGTGTCCGTCAACTATGGAAGGTTTCCAATCAGGTGAAGCCTCTGCAATTCACAGTGTGGCAAGTCCAGTGCCTTCTTAGTTCTTATGAAGAACAATTAGCTGTTCCTAATATTTGCTTTTGTTCCTTGTTGATAATCATGTTTTGTATTGCCAAGTGTGTATACATTTTGGGTTGCATTTTCAGTACATATATTTTGGTTCCTTTCTTTCGGTGCCAAAAATAGTCCGTTGGTGGCAAGTTCAGATCATTAATCTTCTGACATGCGACTTTCTTGAATTTTCCTTACTTTCTTTCCTTTTTTGCTTTTGTTTTTAGATTCTGCATTCCTGTCACCTTCATTCAGTAACAATGTGCATATCTTATATTCTTTAATTGTTTAGGAGAATGGAATTTGGTGCAACATGTAATCTCTCAATTAGCATGATGTTGCTGCAATATTATTTGGAGATCTATAAATAAATTATGGATTGGAATTCATTGATATCCAAAATCATGATAAGAGCTTGTGAAATGGATTTATTTTACAACTTCTATGTGAAATTGGGATCTCATTAATTATGCTCGACAGAAATTTGTGACGATAATTAAACTTTATTCATTAACAATGAAGTTGCATGAGGTTCCTATTCAATTTCTCTTTTTATATACTTTCTTCTCTTTGCTTTCCTCGTTTCTTTGTCTAAGCTCTTGTTTTGGAGCTGGTGGTCAGGGAGTGACTTGTAGTGTCTGGTTCATTTTTCCATCTGAAATGATGGTTAAAGGATATTTCGACTTTGATTTCATTTTTATGCAGGTAGAGAACACACTTGTCATTGGTCGCAGGAGCTGTGCAGGTCCCTCCTAAAAAGATTATTCCAGAATAAATGGGCAATAGTTAGGAGAGGTGCGCCAGCGGCGAGCAGAAGCAAGGTTATTAGATACCTCAGGAAAGAGCGAATCGCTCTCCTTTCCCTAATATGAACCTTGAGTCATCAAAGCCTTTCTGACTCGGCCTGGCCCGGTCGCCCTACTCGACTGACGCTTCAAAAGGTGAAACTCTCGGTCGTAGTTTGGCAACCTATCTTCAGTAGGGGATTTATGACATAACGAGAACGTTAGATGATGCAAATTGAAGGTTGGCTAGATTCTCTCTTCTATTTATGTGTTTTCAGGTGACTCCCCACAACGATTGTGTGCAAAGTCAGATATAAACTTAGTTTTGTTCTGATAAGTTCTTATATCACTTCCAACTTGGTTCAAGTTACTAAATTGCTGTTTCCGGCCTCAGTTTTAACCAGCGATGCAACCTCTGTGAGAAGGTATGATCTCTTTTTCATTCTATTTATGTTGCAGTTATACTGAATCCGCTTTTTCTTTTTCTAATAACAAAGAAATTCCGGAGGGCTAGTTAAACTGAATGCACACGAGGGATAACCACCAAAAATCTCAGATGGAGATAAGAGCAGTTCTTATCCATTGGGACCATAAAATACACAGGCTTGTTTATTGACTTTGATTGGTTAAAACTTCAAAATGATATAGCTGCCGTTCTTTCATATGTTCAGAGTTAAGTAGCAAGTATTTCTTTTCTCTGTTTGGTTTCACTTTGAAAAGAAAAATTGAAAGTGCCTATGGTTAGTTTCAAAATAACACATTTTACTCTACAAATGGCCAATATGGTTTAAATGGAAGATGCTGGAAGAAGCATCATGGAACAAATGCATGCTTTGTAGACTTGTATTAAACAGGATTGAACATTTTGTGTTGCATGCTTTAATAAGAATCCTAAAATGTGGTTTGGTAGTTGAAATGATTGCATGGAATAGGCGGCACATGAGGATTCTAGTTGACAAAGAATATGAGTATTCGATCCAAAGGTTTAAGCTGATGGGTGGAGTGGTCTAGGACATTATAAACATTTCTGTGAATCCTTACACATCCAACGAGTGACGAGTATATTTTAACACAATCCTGCATAGGTAGCCTGGTTATATGGTTTACCGGTGGACTGATTTTTATTTTTTTGCTTTTTTCCACGAAGGCTGAAGAGTGGATATGAAGGAAGAGAGAAGCCTAGAGTGGCATGGCGGGATGATGGTCCGTAGAAGGATATTTGTCCAAAGCATAGAGTAGATAGAGAGAAACAGTTGTGAAGACTGATTTACCAAAAGTTTGAATATGGATACCATATGAGTGAATATGTCTCCAACCCATAATAGTGTGACAGGTTTACACTAATATACAATTTAGGTCATCTACATTGACTTTTGACGTACCGTACCAAACTATAAGCTAATTAGTTTGATGAGAAATTCAACTACTCACATCACAAAATCCTAAAAGTCCTTGTAATTGCATTCTTAAAAACCTATATAAAGCAACAGACTTGAAGCCAATGCCACATCCAGTCTTATACACATTATTCTTTCTTATAGCTTCTACCATCTGCAGAAAAATGGCTCAACATTACCACATATCATCTCTCTTACTGCTTGCATTTCTCAATATATTCTTCATTCATGGCAACATAAGTGGCGCGACTGCACGCCACCTCCTTGAGACACCCGTTCCTGAGATACCTAAACCAGAACTCCCAAAAGTTCCAGCCTTGCCAAAGCTTGAAATCCCAACTGTGCCGAAGCCTCAGCTTCCAACCATACCAAAGCCTGAGCTACCAACTCTACCGAAGCCCCAGTTACCAACTTTGCCAAAGCCTAAGATGCCTGAGATCCCTACTATGCCAAAACCTGAGCTTCCTACTATGCCAAAGCCCGAGATTCCTTCAATGCCAAAACTAGAGTTTCCTCCCTTGAAAAAGCCAGAAATCCCACCAGTGCCTAAGACTCAGGTTCCTCCGGCTATGAAAAAGCCTGAAGTTCCAACTCTACCAATGCCCAAGCTACCGAGTCTGCCAAAGCCAGAAATTCCAGAACTACCAAAGCCAAAAGTCCCAGAACTTTCAAAGCCAGAAGTCCCAACTATGCCAAAACCGGAAATCCCAGAACTACCAAAGCCAAAAGTCCCTGAGCATCCAAAGTTAAATATCCCAACAACGCCAAAGCCTGAAATCCCAGAACCAAAAGTCCCAGAGCTTCCAAAGCCTGAAATACCAACTACGCCAAAGCCTGAAATACCAGAATTACCAAAGACAAAAGTTCCAGAACTTCCAAAGCCAGAAGTACCAACTATGCCAAAGCCAGAAATCCCAGAATTACCAAAGCCAAAAGCCCCAGAGCTTCCAAAGCTAAAAGTCCCAACAATGCCAAAGCCTGAAATCCCAGAACTTCCAAAGCCAAAAGTTCCAGAGCTTCCAAAACCTGAAGTACCAACTATGCCAAAGCCTGAAATTCCGGAACTACCAAAGCCAAGAGTCCCAGAGCTTCCAAAGCCTGAAGTACCAACTACGCCAAAGCCTGAAACCCCTGAACTACCACAGCCAAAAGCCCCAGAGCTTCCAAAGCTAAAAATTCCAACAATGCCAAAACCTGAAGTACCAACCATGCCAAAGCCTGAAATTCCAGAACTACCAAAGCCAAGAGTCCCAGAGCTTCCAAAGCCTGAAGTACCAACTACGCCAAAGCCTGAAACCCCTGAACTACCACAGCCAAAAGCCCCAGAGCTTCCAAAGCTAAAAATTCCAACAATGCCAAAACCTGAAGTACCAACTATGCCAAAGCCTGAAATCCCAGAACTGCCAAAGCCTAAAGTCCCAGAGCTTCCAAAGCCTGAAATCCCAAAACTACCTAAGCCAGAAGTACCAACTATGCCCAAACTTGAAATCCCAGAACTACCAAAGCCAAAAATCCCAGAGCTTCCAAAGCTAAAAGTCCCAACTATGCCAAAGCCTGAAATTCCAGAACTTCCTAAACCAACTCTTCCTTCACTTTCTCCACCATACAAGCCCGCTACTCCTTGAGTAAATTATATGCTACTTTCACTCTATTAGGAAGTACCCAACTGATATTTTGCGATTTCCATCTTAGTCTATGAAGCTTGCGACCTGAGCTGTGACATGGAGATAGTATTGGATACTTTCTGCTAGGAGTAGAAATTGTAATTCTTTTATAGTAGTATTTGAGTTGAATGTACCATGTTTGATGTGTCGTTATATTACGAGTTTTTTATTACTTTCTATCAATACAATATGTGTAATATAGCTCTGATCTATGTTACTTTGGTTTAATTCGGCTAATATTTCAAAAGGTCAGATTTAGAAATTTATCTAGTAAAATCATCAAATTTTGTTTTATATTAGTAAAATCACTCAACTTGGTATTTGTATTAATAAAATCACTCAACTAAATTTATTATAAATTATATGACATTATATTTATTGATCCACGTACAACTAGACCCAAATTTATTCACAATTTTACCCATCAACTCAATTAAAAAACTATGTTTTGTTACTTGACAATCTATGCATTCCAAATGGTTCGTGAGCATGGGCCAATGGCCATGGGATCAAACCCCTTCAGTGGGCAAGTTTATTAGCTAATGCAGATTGTTGCTTGTTATCTTTCTTTGGATCCCCACTCTCTGTCAGGCTATGGACAGAGACAAGTTGAAGAGCTATCGTTCTGTCAATCCAGCGAGTTTTTTCATTGGGTTAATGGGTAGAATTGTGAATGAATTTGTTTCTAATTGCATGTGGATCAATTAAAGCTACATCATATATTTAATTAATGGCAAATTTAGTTGAGTGGTTTTATTGATACAAACACCGAAGTTGAATAATTGTTAGATAAATTTTCAAAATTGAGTAATAAACTTCTCTTAATTTTAGAAATTTATATATGGTGACGTTTGTTTTTTTCTTTGCTTTGGTAGGTGATTACTGGTGATTTAATAAATTCTCAAAGAATAAAACATATACGGTTAAGATGGAAGAGTTTCATTGTATATATAGAATTAGTTGACTCTTTCATTGCCACTATTATTTTTGAAATATATAAGATCTAATCAAATTAATTGATGAAAAAAAGAGAGTATGTTTTTATTATGTCTAATTTAGGAATTGAGATTTATTGACAACGAAAATATGAAATTTTTATTCATACAACTTTCTTGGATAAACTCATTATATTCTCTTGACTTTGAGGAATGTTGAAGAACTGAAAAAGCTCCTTAGTGGTGTTTTCTTCCCACATAATAATCCTATTCAATTGCCTAAAAAGGCTTTTGCTAATCAAAAGGTTTAAATTTTCACAATTTATTTATTAATTTTATAATAAATTAATGCATAATTATTAATTTATTTAATGTTTATTAAATTATACATTTAAATTAGTTATAATTCATATCTCTTCATCTTATTATAACTTTACTCTTAAATATCCATTTATATTTTTTTGTGTATTTCATTTTCATAATTCTTAAAAAAAATTAATTCATATTAAAAAAATTATAATAAACAAAATATAGTAATAAGGACATAATTAAGAAGTTAAAAAAAAATTAAATTAAGAATTTGTATGGAGAATCAAGGACTACTAAGAAAAAAGATAGAGAAAATTAAAATATACAAAAATAACACAATATATTGTTATTTCAAAATATGACCTCTTATCCATTTACTTCACTATCATAAATATTGTTCTACTATATACATATGAATAATTTGTATTTAAGAAAATACAAAAAAAATAAAATATATTTTGTATGTTGAAAAAAGATTTAATTTTTTTTATATATACTAAAAAAAACTATAGTCGCGCAAAACACGACAATTTCACTAGTGTATGTCATAAAATTTGAAATCACCCAATGAAATCAAATGAACAAGGTAGACAACACGACGTACAAGCTACGCCAACCGCATCTTATAAATAGTGGTTCGCAATGATCAGTCCTGCCTCTAAACTCTAACGTTAATTTTTTCTCTATGCTATTTATCACTATTAAGTCTTCCATCACCCTTTTCTTCTTCAACATAGAATCACACACGTACTAATCAAGAAAGAAGAATTGCGGTAATTTCAAGAAAGGTCATGTATTTTTTTTAAAAGATCAATATCCCTCGAAAACACTTGTTACTTGTAGAATTTGAAAGGCATGCTAATGTTATTAAGTCCATTGTTCATGAATCAATATATAAAGCTGAATCTAAGCAATCCTATGTGACACCTCTCTATGACCACCATTCTTATTTTTTTTTCCTCAAATTTTTGATTTTTTTTTATTCATTTCAATAATCTATTAAATACCTCTAATGCATCATTAGCATACAATTAAAGAGGATAATAAAAACTTTTAACATAAATAATATCTTTATTGTTGCAATAGGAATGAAGAGTTGTAACGGTTGTCAAGAACTTATTGCAATTAACCAATTAAAAATCTATATAAAAAAAATAGGTAGAATAACACATAATCTGAAGATAAATTGACAAAATGGAAGAATCTTTGCAAGAGAAGATGTACTACTCAAGGTAAATTGAATTTTTAAAAGCTTCACTGTCTCAGATAAATCGATTTTTTGATTTGTTTGTATATAAAATTAGGCAGGAAATCACATAAGCAGAAGGTAAATTAACAAAATGAAAGAATCATTGAAAGAGAAGATTTCTTCCTCTAGGTAAATTAAAATTTTGAAAAGCTTTATTACCTCAAATAAATAAATTTTTTGTTTTGTTTATACAAATGACATTAGGCAGAAGAGCACATAATGCACAGGTAAATTAACAAAATGGAAGAATCATTACAAGAGAAGATTTACTACTTCAGGTAAATTTATTTTGCTTTTTTTTATAAATAAAAAATATGCAAGAGATAAAATAGAGAACATATAGCAAAAGAAGGTTTTACTACCTCAGATAAACCGATTATTTTGATTTGTTTGTATAAATGAATTCATTAGAATATACCTGTGTCGATTTGATCATTTTATGCCAGCAAGAATTATTATAGACGAATCTAGCAAAACAAGAACAAAATTCTATTAAGGAATTCAATATACCGAAGATCTAAAGACATCAAAATATCCTCTAACATTCAATTTGTGAACCGTGAAAATGATGCCCACCATGAAGTATTATTTCTCTCATTCTAATCTTTTTTATTTACAAATAATGAGTATAGAGAGTACTGAAATGATATGAAAAGGGAAAATAAATTTTTGATTCTCTTTTATGACAGTAAAAAATATAGATAAAAGTAAGAAGATAGTAATAAATTGAGTAAAAAGTAAAAGGAAAGAAAAAATTTAAAAGAACTACCATAAAAAGAAAACACGAAAAAAGGAAAACAAGTTAAAAGAGTTACTTTTTATTTTACTTTATTTGTAGTCACTTTTCTCTCTTTCTACTTTTTTTATTTAACATTTGAATTATGAAATTATAAAAATATATTAATTAAACTTAATATATATAACTACTTAAAAAGTAAATAAGATTATAGTTTATAGTATTTTTTGAATTTTCTTAACATAGTACATAAATAACAAAAATATATATGAAGTCAAGAATAGGAGAAAAAAAAACTAATTATAATATTTAGTCAAAGAGATATTTTTGGCAAATTTTATAGATCAAAAGGAAAAAAAATAAGGAAAGAATAAAAATTTTCTTGAATAATAATAAATTATGATAATAAGGAAGAGAGATGGATGATATTATTTTTCTTTAAATTTTTAAAAAAAATAGAAGATAGAAAGAGGAATTTAAGAAAAACTAATAAATAGTAGTAATATGAGGAGAGAGATAATTAAGGTATTTTAAAAAAAAAAATTAAACTGATTTTATAGATCAAAAGAAGAATTTTTTTGTGAATAATAATAATAAATCATGACAATAAGGATATGTTTAAGGAGGAGAGATAATGAGATTTTTCATTTAAAAAGCTACTAAAAAAGTTTTTTTTAAAATTAAATAAATAAATAAATTGTAGTAATGATAAGGAGGTATGGAAGGCAATAAATCTTAATAATGACGTGAAGATAGAGAAATAAGGTAAATATATTTATCATAATATAAAGGTGAGTATCATAATTATGTTAAAAAAACATGATATTAAATAAGACAATATTTTATAACTTTTTTGAGTTTATGATAATAAGGTGGAGAGATAATAAGATTTTTTATTTTTAATAAACTATAAAAATGGAAGGTTAAAAAATGAATTTAAGAAAAAATAATGAGTAAATTGTAGTAACGATAAGGAGAGATGAAAGACAATAAATTGTAGTAATAGTGAGAAGAGAGATAAATAAGGTAAATATATTTATCATAATAATAATATAAAGGTGAGTATCATAACTATGTCTTCAAAAAATATTAAATTAGACACTATTTTATAACTTCTTTTGAGTTTTTTTAACATAAAATATAAATTAAAAAATATTTAAAATTTCAAGAAAAGGAGAACTATGATTCTTGATCAAGAGATATTTTTTATTCTTTTATATATATATTTTATAGGTCAAGAGAGAAAAATTAAGAAAAAAAGAGAAATTTGGAGAATAATATTAATAAATTAATAGTTATGAGAAGAAGAAGGAGAGATAAATAAGATTTAATTTAGAAAACCTTAGAAATAGTAGGTGGGAAGATAAATTAATTTTTTTCTATAGTACCAATGAGTAGAAATAAAAAAATATAACAGGTTGCAGTAATATCACGAAAATAGAAAAAGAAAATATTTGAGATTTATTTTTTATTCAAATTTTATAAATCAAATAAAAAAAGCTTATTGAGGAAAAATAAAATTTTGTGAATAAGAATAATTAATTATGGTAATAAACTGGAGAGATAAATAAAAAAATATTTTAAAAATTATAAAAATAGAAGGTAGAAAATGTAATAAATTGTAGTAGCAATGGTGAGGAGAGATGAAATTAAGAAAAAATAATACATTGTAGTAATGATAAGGAGATATGAAAGGCAATAAATCGTAGTAATGATGAGAAGAGAGATAAATAAGGTAAATACATTTATCATAATGTAATAATATAAAGGTGAGTATCATAACTATGTTAAAAAATATTGTATTAAATAAGACACTATTTTGTAATTTTTTTGAGTTTATGATAATAAGGTGGAGAGATAATAAGATTTTTTATCTTTAAAAAACTATAAAAATGAAAGGTTAAAAAACGAATTGAAGAAAAAATAATGAGTAAATTGATGATAAGGAGAGATGAAAGACAATAAAGAGAAGAGAGATAAATAAGGTAAATATATTTATTATAATAATAATATAAAGGTGAGT